GAAAGAATAACTTGACATCAGTACTGACCTCCAGTTCTTTAACACGTGGTCGCAGTGATACTCCAGTACACTGTGACATCACAGTTGGGTGTGGTTACTGCAGACAGCGTCCCCTAATTAAACCTACTGTGTGCACCTTCTGCCACTAGGGGGTCTCTGACATCCAAACAGTAAAATAATATGAAGTGTGATGAGGTGGTGAAGCAGCGAGGGATCATGGGAGTTGTTGTCTTCACCACCATTGGTGTCATTGCAGTCAGCTTCTCCCGGTTAGGATTCCTTCAGTGTTCATGGTTCAGGAGACTGAGGGTAACAGTCAATGTATGACAGCTTCTGGCAGACAACCACAACGCTGACGCAGGCACAAAGGGGATATGACACCATCGACAGGCGACTGGTGAATAACCTAAATAAAATTACAGTTTTCTCTGAGTTTGAACATTGCTGGAAACATTTGGGATAGTGTAAGAACACAACTCAACTACATATTAGAGAATACAGTTTAAATATCTAAAAAAGCTAATATGCTTTTCATTTATTTCATTTGTTTCTACGTGTTTATTTAACATATTAAAGAGAAATAAATAAAGTTGACTTGATTTTATTTGTGCTGTTGAACTGGGACACATTGTCTCTCTCCATCACACACATTTCCTCCCAATTACTGTGTGTCACCTTTCACCTCCTACCCTCCCCCTCCATTCATTACTCCGCCTGGTTGCTTCGTCTCTCTACAAGCTGCTTTTCACGCTCTCTAAACCTCACCCTCCCGATCACCCTCCTCCTCCTCCTCCTCCTCCTCCTCCTCCTCCTCCCCCTTTAAAGCCTTTTCACTCGTCCTTCATCTTTTGTTTCTGCTGTAAAACCTAACACACCTGATAAACAACACACACACACACACACACACAATCAAACAATTACACCCAGTAATATAACAATATTATATAATAAATACTGCTGCTACTAGTAATAATAATGAACAGATAATATATAATGCAGCCTCATCCAGCATCAAAATTCAAACAGGATCATAAACTGCTGTCTGTGACACTAACTTCACTTTTTGATTGATTATTAAAGTGTTAAATCTTCACTGTCACTGGATGACACACTGGAGCACCCTCAGACCAGGACAATGGGACAGAAACTAAATAACAAACATCAAGGCTCAACAAAACTGTCTTTGTTAGTGTTTCCAACAATCACCAACTCTGGTTTGATGCAAATGAATCCCTAATTCACCGACGTAGATGATAAAATATTTGCGATATGGGCTGCAATGTAAACTTAAGTGCGTCCACTAAGTAGTTGTTGTTTGTTCCACTAACGGTAGTTGTTGTTTGTTCCACTAACGGTAGTTGTTGTTTGTTCCACTAACAGTAGTAGTTGTCTGTTCCACTAATGGCAGTTGTTGTCTGTTCCACTAACGGTAGCTGTTGTCTGTTCCACTAACGGTAGTTGTTGTCTGTTCCACTAACAAGAGCTGTTGTCTGTTCCACTAACGGTAGATGTTGTCTGTTCCACTAACGGTAGTTGTTGTTTGTTCCACTAACGGTAGTTGTTGTTTGTTCCACTATCAGTAGTTGTTGTCTGTTCCACTAACGGTAGTTGTTGTTTGTTCCACTATCAGTAGTTGTTGTCTGTTCCACTAGCGGTAGCCATTGTCTGTTCCACTAACGGTAGTTGTTGTCTGTTCCACTAACAGTAGCTGTTGTTTGTTCCACTAACAGTAGCTGTTGTCTGTTCCACTAACGGTAGTTGTTGTTTCTTCCACTTATAGTAGTTGTTGTTTGTTCCACTAACGGTAGTAGTTGTCTGTTCCACTAACAGTAGCTGTTGTCTGTTCCACTAACGGTAGTTGTTGTTTCTTCCACTTATAGTAGTTGTTGTTTCTTCCACTAACGGTAGTAGTTGTCTGTTCCACTAACAGTAGCTGTTGTCTGTTGCACTAACGGTAGTTGTCGTTTGTTCCACTAACAGTAGTTGTTTCTGCTACTAACACACTCAGGTTGTTATTCTCAGTGTCTGACAGCATTATGGAAAGGATCCCTACAGAGATAGACCTTTAGTTTAACCACAAACAGCCGTAATATCACTATCACTCTCCACCAGACTCCAGAGACAGAAACACTCATTTTACCTTCAGATCATCCTAACTTTGTAACTTCAATCAAAGTGGACAGAAACTAAATCGACTTTGTCTTTCCAACAATCACCAACTCTGGTTTGGTGGAAATAAATCCTTTATTCACCGACGTAGATGATAAGAACAGCAGTTTCAGTCACTCTACTGAGGTCTGATATTACAAAGGTCCAATAAGACAATGGTCTGGTACTACAAAGGTATGACGAAGATCTGATATATTGAATGTCCAATATGATAAAGATCTATAAATAATGTTATAAGGAGTTCGGTCTAGAGCTGCTCTATTTGAAAAAGTGTCCTGAGATAACTTCTGTTATGAATTGGCGCTATACAAATAAATTAGATTGAATTGAATTGAATTATATTATTACATTATATTTATACATTATATTATTACATGTTGTACTCTACTACAATACTACAACTTGTACTCTGTTAACTTAAGTATTGCTTTTGTTTATTTGTATGATCAGATTAATGGTTAATGCAGAGATATAAAATCACATCATAGACTCCAGCTGTCCACACACACACACACACACACACACACACACACACACACACACACAGCCTGAGGTCTGACAGTGTGTGTGCGTGTGTGTGTGTGTGTGTGTTTTCTCTTTGTGTGTTTGATTGATGTGTGTGTGCAGCGGTGCATGTGACCGGTGTGTGTGTGTGTGTGTGTGTGTGTGTGTGTGTGTGTGAGATTAATATTGCATGAGGGTCCTGATGAGAAGTGGACAAACACTCCCAGCTGAGCTCACACACACACACACACACACACACACACACACATATGAATGCATTAATATCACACACACACACACACACACACACACACACACACACACACACACACACACACACACACACACACACACACTCACTCACATGAGGTCAGGCACACATGTTTTACCAGCAGTGTGTGTGTCACTGATAAGATGCTGCCAATAATACACACACACATACACACTGTTCACACTACATTAACCTGTCTATGGTTACCATGACGACCTGAACACTGTCTGATTCTCACCTGCTGTGACCTGTGAGCTGTGAACCAGTCAGACAACAGACACAAACAGAAAGTGGAACTCACCTGAGCAGGGACGTTGTGTGCAGACACTCACTCTGATCAGGTACAGGTCTAAACAGGTGTGTAAACAGGTCTAAACATGTGTGTAAACAGTTGTAAACAGCTGTAAACAAGTGTGTAAATAGGTGTAAACAGGTGTAAACAAGTGTGTAAACAGGTCTGTAAATAGGTGTAAACACGTGTGTAAATAGGTGTAAACAGGTGTGTAAACAGGTGTGTAAACAGGTGTAAACAAGTGTGTAAACAGGTTTGTAAATAGGTGTAAACAGGTGTGTAAACAGGTGTAAACAGGTGTGTAAACAGCTGTGTAAACAGGTGTGTAAATATGTGTGTAAACAGTGGTAAACAAGTGTGTGAACAGGTGTGTGAACAGGTGTAAACAAGTGTGTAAACAAGTGTAAACAGGTGTGTAAACAGGTGTAAACAGTAAAAGTGCAGCAGCAGTAAGTTTTAAATCTTAAATCAACGTTATGTAACGTTCTACGTTACAATAACAGACTCAGGTTGATGTTCCACTGACTCTCTCTTCAAGTGCTTTAAAGTCAAACACCACCAACTGTGTCAGTGACAACATGTTTGTTTTTGACCAACTATGATTTTCATTTCAAAATTGTAACTCATGTCTCAATATCTGTCAAAACAGGATTTGTTTACCATAAGTAACTGCTGTTAGCTCAGTTACTGTGAGCGCGGCACAATGAGGAGGTTTTTAGGCCTGGGATGAATGGGTTTGTCACACAGTGTGGCGCCGCCATCAATGCCTTCCTGTCTGACGTTGTTGTCAGTGCTTTTACCCTTCCTGTCTGACATTGTTGTCAGTGCTTCTATCCTTCATTTTTGACGTTGTCAGTGTCTCCACCCTTCCTGTCTGACGTTGTCAGTGCTTCTACCCTTCCTATCTGACGTTGTTGTCAGTGCACCTACCCTTCCTATCTGAAGTTGTTGTCAGTGCTTTTACCCTTCCTGTCTGACATTGTCAGTGCTTTTACCCTTCCTGTCTGACGTTGTCAGTGCTTCTACCCTTCCTGTCTGACGTTGTCAGTGCTTCTACCCTTCCTACCTGACGTTGTTGCCAGTGCTCCTACCCTTCCTATCTGAAGTTGTTGTCAGTGCTTATACCCTTCCTGTCTGACGTTGTCAGTGCTTTTACCCTTCCTGTCTGACGTTGTTGTCAGTGCTTCTACCCTTCCTGTCTGACGTTGTTGTCAGTGCTTTTACCCTTCATGTCTGACGTTGTTGTAAGTGCCTCTACCCTTCCTGTGTGACGTTGTTGTCAGTGCTTTTACCCTTTCTATCTGACGTTGTTGTCAGTGCTTCTACCCTGGGTCCGTTGGCTATGTAGTTCAATGTTCTCTCTGTTTTAATTCTGTGTAGTGCGACCTCGGTCGCTGCCACCGTTACAAACAGACAAACTGCATATTCTCTGCGGAGAGACGCTTCTGGTGGAATCGCCATTAGAACGGCTGTGATCAGCTCTGGCGGTCGCAGCCATTCTGGAACGTGTCCACAGAGGTGTTTTTGGACACGAGGGGTCGCCAGCATTGAATGCTTGTATTCATATTGACCCTCACAAGGCTCCACCCTCCTTCAGATAAAACCTATAAAACACTCACACTGATTTATTACCTCGTTCTCTTTCTCTCTCTCTAACTTCACGCCTCCAACCAATGATTAAATATTAATGACTCTGGCCCCGCCCATCCGACCACGCCCACATATAAGTGTGCAGCTAAGCCTCGCCCCCTCGGTCCCCACTGGGACACTCTCTCTCTGTATCTGAATGTCTCTCGCCCCCTGTCTCTCTCTCTCTCTCTCTCTCTCTGTATCTGAATGTCTCTCGCCCCCTCTCTCTCTCTCTCTGTATGTGAATGTCTCTCGCCCTCTCTCCCTCAGAACAATGTGTCGTTCACAATAATGGGATTACAGCCATCCAGCCGGCTGCTCACTCGCCCTGCCTATCTCTCCTGTCACCCCCCCCTCTCTCCATCTGTCTGTTGGTAGTCGTTCGTCCCCTCTCTCTCTCTCTCTCTCGCCCGGCGTGCAGGTTCTTTCAGTTCTTGTCGTCTGTTTTTTGGAGGAATGAAAGAAAGACGGACTGTTTCCTGAATGAAGTAAGTCTCTCTCTCTCTCTCTCTCTCTCTCTCTCTCTCTCTCTCTCTCTCATGTGTGGTGCAGGTCTCTCACTCTCAGTGATGAGGCTTTGATTGACAGGTGACTCTTGTTAATTGTGCTGTGATTTAATTAGCGGAGTGGGAATCAGATCAGCGGTAGAGAGACACACTCTGACTGTCTCTCTCTCTGTGTGACTAAGTTCCCTCACAGAGAAAAGAGACGCTTCAGTTTCCTGCGGCACACGAACGTCTCGCTGCTGTTTCAGCTGCTGACAGGAGATCTGAAATATGTCTGTTGTGTTTGAGATTGTCAGATTTTATTGATCCTGCAGACAGACGGACAGACAGACAGACAGACAGATAAAGTGTAACATCTTCAAGAGCAGCAATGAAGAAATGCTATAAACCTAAAATGTCTCCTAATGATAAAGAGATTTTATATGAGAGTACCTACTACATGTACTGTGTATGTACTGTGTGTGTACTGTGTGTGTACTTTGTGTACTGTGCAGTAATGTGTTGATACCATCAATAACTTAAGTTTATGATGATTGTATCTGGAGGGGTTATAGTCCTGTAGGGCTGTCCCTGACATAGTCGACTAGCAGTCATTAGAAAGTCTGGTTGTTGAACACACGGAATAAATAACTTCCAACTTCACTGAAACTAATCCTGACTGATCGATATGATGGATGATGGACAACATTAACAGTTACTGACTAATTAACTGGCTACAAACTGGCTCCTCTTCCTCCTCTTCCTCTCCTGTCGCTGCCTGAACCCACCCGAGTCTTCATCCCCAGAGTCAGAGTCCTGGTTGGAGCCGCTGGACATCAGCCGGCCTCCGACAGTCCGCCCCGCTCCGGTCCTGTGGCTCATTCGGGCCCTGCTCCGGTTCTGTGGCTCATTCGGATAATTTTACTTAAGTACAAAAACATTTGCTGCAAAATGTAGTTAAAGGTTTAAAAAGTAAAAGTACATTTTGTGACATTGACATCAGGACAGCAGAAAGTCTACAACTGTTCCAAATGAAGACTGAATCTATATCCAGAACATGAAGCCACATTTTTACCATCCACTGTTTAGATCTTGGTGCTTTTTAACTCTAGATTTGAACCGGATGAAGGATTTTAGTCATCAGACGTCTGGATCTTAAGTTATCAGAGAAACAAGCTGAGCTAACGTTAGCATTAGCTCGGCTCGCAGCCCCTCCGGGGGACATCCTTTGTCTGTCCAACAGCGTGGGAGAAGCAGTGATTTTTAAGGTGGAACTGCTTTATTCAGTGTGTTTAGTGGTTTTAATCAGCGGGTCTGTTTGTGTTGGAGAGGAGGAGACCTCTGTGGATCATTGGGCTCCCGGTAGAAACCTCCTGAACCATGAACACTGAAGGAATCCTAACCGGGAGAAGCTGACCGCAATGACACCAATGGTGGTGAAGACAACAACTCCCATGATCCCACACTGCTTCACCAGCTCATCAAATTTCCAGTTTTCTTATTGATTGGATGTCAGAGACCCCCTAGTGGCAGAAACTGGTTTAATACGCCAAACAGATTTTCATGGTCTGACCTTCATACGCTCACTGTCCTCGTCCTCTGCAGCGGTTTAATAATTGGCTCCATCTAGCAGTCAACTCATATTCCACAACAAACAAAACTTTCACTCATTTTTGATTTTCATGATGTTCAGTTGGAACAGCAGACGTTCCTGAAGCTTCCCAGTACAACCAGTCTGATCTGTTTAACATATTTCTATCAAACAGGTCATATATTCAGCTGCTGGAAGGGCTGGAAAGTAATTTAGTACATTCGCTCAAGTATTGTACTTAAGTACAATTTTGAGGTACTTGTACTACTTGAATAGTTCTATTCCATTCCATTTATTTTATGAGTACTTTATACTTTACTGCAGTGTAGTTCAGAGCAAGATATTGTACTTTTCACTGCACTATATTTATTTGAAAATGTTTTCAGATTTGGATTATTCATATAAGATAGATAAATAATGATGTTTTATTAAAGACTTTATTAACAGTCTCTTCAGGATTTCTAAAAACTTGCGATGCACGTTGTGTTTGGAAATTTTTTTGCAATGAAATTGCAGCTTCCATAAAACACAGTCGCAGCTAACAGTGTTGCTACTGGCTAGTCGGTCGCTGCTAATGTTAGCTCTTGTAGTCAGTAGCCTAACTAAAATGGAGCAGCAAGAAGAAGGAGCTTGACCATTGACAGTATATATAATGGACAGTGTCTCTCTATTGTCCAGCAGAGGTTAACTCCACTCTGATAGTATTGAGTCTTATGGAAAAGTTGATTTATGAGCTCAGTAAACAGTTCCCTGATGAGTTTCTGGTCTCAGTCTCTAGTTTCAGTCTTCTTCCATACAGCATGATGTTCATTTAGTAACTGATGGTCCCATTTAGAGTAAAACAGACCATAAAGCAGGGTATGCTTTAGGGCGGGGCTACCTTGTGATTGACAGCTCATTCTCAGTGAGTCCGTCCAGCTCAACCAAACTCAGATCAAACTGTCAAACAGTGCTGATCAGATATGGATCCAGATTCTGTTGTTGATTATTTCTCTCCTCAAATCTGTTCACAAACACATTTTACTGTTTATCTGGAATACCAGATCCTGTGTGAGCAGGCGAGCAGCCATTGTTTCCAACCCAAGAGCAGCTCAATGAGAGCAGAGCAACTCGCAGTACGTGACCTCTGCTGGCTGCTAGACACCAACATGGAGACGACCATAAAGTCCACAGCTTTTGGACTGAATCTCAAGTCGAATCATGATTTAACAAAAGATTCAAGCCCTGGTACTTTGGTGACTAACGTCTCAATGTTTTGTGCAGGAAACTACAATGATTGGTGGAATTTGCAAACAATGTCATGCAGAATTCATGTGATTGGTTGAACTTCCTGGAGGGACTGAACAAACTACCTAACAGTAGTGGTTAAAATGAGCTCCACCTTCAAAGTGATGAATTCATCATAATGATTTATTATTCTGCACGAGTTCTTGAACTTTTGTTACTTTGAGTATATTCTGAGTAAAAGATGGGAGCTCTGCTTGGGAGCAGGATTGTGTTCAGTTGGAGGTTTTATCTCCTCTCTCCTCTTCCTCTGTTATTACAGTATTTCTGTCCCCCCCCCCTTCAGAGCCTTGTTTTAATCTTGTAAAAATTCTGCTCTCATAAACACATTATGGAGCTCATTCACGGCTGTTAAAGGACCAGAGAGGAGAGAGACAGGAAGCTGTATTTGTTTTAATAGAACGGCACCTCCTCCTCCTCCTCCTCCTCCTCCTCCTCCTCCTCCTCCACACAGCGTCTCCACCCTGCAGAGAAATTAAAAATCATCTTCTGTGTTTTCTGTATGAAGAGCTTTTCTTTGTCCTCTTCATAGTGGACGGCGTTTAGAGGTCAACTTCCTGTTTGACTCTTTATTTTAATGTTTCCAGCTGTTGTCTTTGACTCGTCTTTGTGTTTGTTGTCATGACAACTGAATCAGAACCAAACATGTGATTTAATGGAGGGTCTCAGTGCAGCAGCTCAGAGTTATTACCAGTCCTCAGTACATCGTATGATGATGTGGTGGCTGTAGGTGGGTCTCTGAGCGTCAGCTGGTATCAGGTGAGACTCTGAGACTTTGACCTAAACAAGATTTACTAGAACTGCTCCTTTAAACAAAGAGACAATGCATTGAAAAAAGGCAAGACAGTATAAAGATACACTTCCACAGGAATTTATATATATATATAATATATATATTAAAGCAGCTCTGATTGGACCTGCACTTTTCAGAATGCTGCTTCATCAGGTTCCTGCAAACATCTAAACTTCAGTAAACGTCCTCAGGAGATTGAAATATATTTTCTAAATTAAAATTGAACCGACGTCAGCTTGCGACTTTGACAGTGTCTCAATGTGCTGTCTTCAACTACTAAACAATTTTTCAGATTCTACATTCTTTAGTGAACAACTTCAAGTAGTTCTGTTGACATCAGGATGAACACAACCACTCGGACACATCTGTTCAGATGAACTTTTTAACAACTTTTAATCAATTACCATACAGTAATTGTTGTATATTTTACTGCAATACACTATATGAATCAATTAAAAAGACATTGTCTCCAACACTGTGTGCTAGAATACTTCAGTAGGTCTCTGCATTGTCTGAGGTGTAACAGGGCAGGAAGACAGACAGGTAACAGGACTCCAGGAGGTGGTTGAGGGGGAGCTATCTTCCCTCATTTATTGGCCTCCAGAACACAAAACAGAAAGTCGATTAGTTTCCAAAACACTTATTGATCCGTGAATCAAATACAAAATAAAATAAACTTAAGCTACCTCTTTAAAAGCTAAGATTAGTTAGCCAGCACAACAAGCTAGCTTGCCAATAGAAATTAGCTTTAACATTGTTTCAAGATCAAAATAAACAGAAATGGTTATTCACATAATAACACTTTAAGCAGGTGTGCTGTAAAGTTACAACCACTCCCTTACACACAGACACAGAAAAAAAAGTCTTGATAAATGTGTAAATAAAGCTTTGTGATGTAGATTCAAATTCTATTTATCATTCTATTGCTTATCGTGCAAACTCAACGTTCAGGTTGGATATAATTGAACTCTATAGGGTTCCACCATTCATTGCTTCATAAACAAACAGTAGTATTTCAAAGCCAGTTCAGTGTTGGCATTAACAAACACCTGCTCCACAGCTAGGATCAGGTCCAGGAGGGGGGTTAACAGCCTGGGGTCACACTTCGAATGGGGGGCTGGTCCCTGTGGACCAACAGAGAGCAGAGGATGGTCCAGTGTAATGTTGGTTGTTAGGATTAGCTGACATACAATAGATACAACACAAATAATAATACAAAGTGTGAGATAAGATTAGTTTCCCTCAGTGAAGGTCGACTTTTCATAAAATACAAAAACTTTCCCTTGTTGTTCGGCCCCTCCAGGAAGTCACAATGTTGCAACAATTAACGCAAAT